TTACTGAGGACGCCTTCACTGCACTACCCATACCAACCGACGTTCATGTAGGTGAACGTAAGTTCCGCAGGGTTGTCACCGCTGCTGCAGCTCGCTTCATCCCAGCAGGATGTATTAAGGATCCACGTCCGAATTTTCCTGCCGAAGCGGCTGTTCTAGCTGATGAGCGCGACAACCTTCTCAGGCCGATCCCGGAAACCCCCGTATTAGGGATCTCATTCGGAGATTCGGCAACTTGTGAAGACATACGATGACATGAAACCTTTCGCCTCTGGTGTGGCAAGTTTGGTCAACCGTGAGGTCGTTGTCCAACCCGACGACAGAGTCGAGATAGACTTTGGTGACCACGCTTCGTCGACCCGGAGATATGCGCGAGCTATTTAGCCGGCAGTTCATTCTGCATCCTCCGGTGGATAAAGCCAAACTCGAGTGACCAGAAGGCTGCACAAAATGCCAAACCTAGGCGCCTCTTGTTTCACCAGCGGTGAGGTAAGGGTAGCCATCGGGAAGGCAAAGCCTCCAAAGCCATTGGACCCGACGGAATATGCATGTTGATGCTGAAAAATTTGGGTCCTGCGGGAGTAGCGTACCTAAGGAGGCCTCAACCTGTCTATGGCCACTCTCGTCATTCCAGACATCTGGAAAATGGGGAGAGTGGTCCCACTGCTCAAACCGGGGAAACCAGCCAAAAAGGAGAGTCTTATCGCCCGATAACTCTCCTTTCCCCGGTAGCGAAGACACTCGGGCTCCTGCTGCTCCCGTACTTCACGAACCACCGGACGAGGAGGCCTCTATATCTTCTAGTAGCGTTGAATGACAGTGTCGAACACCTTGGACAGGTCCAACGCTACTAGAACAGTTCTCTCACAGGGGCGGTTTCGGTTTAGGCCACGAGTTATCTGAGTGTTTATGGCGTTAAGTGCTGTTGTTGTACTATGCACTTTACGGAACCCATGTTGATGCTTCGCTGGGGTCAGGTGGTTCGTGAAGTACGGGAGCAGCAGGGCCTCGAGTGTCTTCGCTACCGGGGAAAGGAGAGTTATCGGGCGATAAGACTCTCCTTTGTTGGCTGGTTTCCCCGGTTTGAGCAGTGGGACCACTCTCCCCATTTTCCAGATGTCTGGAATGACGAGAGTGGCCATAGACAGGTTGAGGACCTCCGTTAGGTACGCTACTCCCGCAGGACCCAAATTTTTCAGCATCAACATGCATATTCCGTCGGGTCCAATGGCTTTGGAGGCTTTCGCCTTCCCGATGGCTACCCTTACCTCACCGCTGGTGAAAACAAGAGGCGCACTAGGTTTTGGCATTTTGTGCAGCCTTCTGGTCACTCGACGTTTGGCTTTATCCACCGGAGGATGCAGAATGAACTGCCGGCTATAATAGCTCGCGCATCTCCGGGTCCGACGAAGCGTGGCCACCAAAGTCTATCTCGACTCTGTCGTCGCGCTTCGTCGGGTTGGACAACGACCTCACGGTTGACCAAAGCTTGCTCACACCAGAGGCGAAGTTGCAGGTCTTCACAAGTTGCTGAATCTCCGAAATGAGATCCCTAATACGGGGATTTCCGGGATCGGCCTGACGAAGGTTGTCGCGCTCATCAGCTAGAACAACCGCTTCGGCAGGAAAATTCGGACGTGGATCCTTAATACATCCTGCTGGGATGAAGCGAGCTGCAGCAGCGGTGACAACCCTGCGGAACTTACGTTCACCTACATGAACGTCGGTTGGTATGGGTAGTGCAGTGAAGGCCTTTCCAGTCAGCTTTGGAAAAGTTGACATAAGTCCGGTGATCCACGGAAGCAAAGTCGGCAGGTTTATCAATCGAGATGACTATGGGCAGATGGTCTGATGCTAGAGTCAGCATAGGTCGCCATGATACGCTGTTTATCTTACCAGCGCTGACAATTGTTAGCTATTAAGAGTTGCACTTGACTGATGTCACGTTACGGTATATTCTGGACTGACAAACAGAGCAGATTGTCGGAGGGACTAGGAGTTGCCGGCGGCGGTGTGTGGGTGCTATTGTGTTTGTTTGTGTGTCTATTGTTGTGTTGTGTTGGGGTGTGGGTGTGTTGATTGTGTGCTGCCCAGGCGGGTGGTGGTTTGCCGTGGAGCATGGGGCCCCGAACGACGTGGTCCATTGCCGGTACGAACGCAGGCCCGAGCAGTTACGGAGGTGACTCCACCCGTCACTGGCATTGCACCTGACCGAGGTGGAGTTTGTATGCAGTCGTCTCTGGCATACGCAGCAGGTGTAGATTTCTAGCCCTGGGTTTGCCTCTATGCCAGCCCTGAGCAGAAGGGTGCGGAGAAGGTAGCCCTAGGATCTAGCAACGTTTGATGGATTTCGCCGACCTAAACGGGGTTAGATCGGCGAAACAACAGCCCTTGGTCGGGTAAAACCCGAGTCATTCCGGTACGTAGAACCGGCTGTCGTGGGAATGTCTTGCTTATTGCTTATATTGTATTGCTTATAATGTAGTCTTCTTCCTGACAAAATTGAATTAGTAGATTTCCACGTTGTTGTTGTTGTAGCGGCTACAACAACCCCGCCCAGATCGGTTGGTATCTCAGTCGTTGTCGTCAAGTTCCACTAACGGCAACCCTAGGAAGCGTGCAGCTTCTGTGGGATCTGTCCACAGGGACAGGGCCGTTAGGGTTGTCGGGTTTTCCGGGCATGCGAAGAGATG